CACCAGCGGTACTCAACTTCAGCAGAGCACTTCCTCTTTTTTGATATGAATATGCATCAGCCTATCAGGGCTGAGACAGCAGCTCGCTGTATACTATTTTTGTTCCTCAGCTATTGAGTTTCAAGCTGACAGGAAACTGCTGGTCTAAGCTGACCAGTTTCCTGTGGAAGGTGCATGAATGCAGCTGTGATTGTACTAACATAAATAGCAGTAGACTGACCGCCAAACAATATGATGGAAATGTTAGTGGTTAAGTTATGGACAGATAATGTCACATCACCTGTGACACTAGAGAGCACGAGGAGTGATGAAAGAACAAAGGTGACGTGTAGGCGGCCTAGTGAGCACAGACTAAACCACAGACGGTTTGAGTCCCAGACAGCGAGGTAGGACCAGAGATAGCTGGACTGAGACTGAGCCCATTTTCTCAGTGTTTCTTTAATTCTCTGTGTCTTGTTAGGCAAGATGACAGAGTAAAAAGAGAAGAAGAAGGGCCACAGTGGGGTAAACAGGAAGTAGCCACATCATTGCCGGAGGCCTGGTACACTTTGAAGGTCTCCACCTACAAGCTTTAGAGTCCTTTGGTCTCATTTTAATAGCACCACCCTGATTAGTGGAAAGTTAAAGTTGAGGAAATGTGAGCCCACACACATCGACTGATGTCACACCCCACCCTCAGCTGACAAACATACAGTTCCTTTAATGTCACTTCATATCGTGACTAGCCAGATTTCCACAGCACCTCAGAGATGTGTCCAATAACCACTATTTAGAAGATATTTGCGATAAATCCAACACTTTCAAGTCAAGATGGACTCGGGGAAGTATGATGCTCAGTTTTACACAGACTGTGAAGAGTTTTATATCGAACTGATAATTGTAATTTTACCAATTTACATATTTCTGCTCAAGTGTATAAATGTGACTACCATCAATAAATGTAGTTGCCTAGCCTCGTTTTATGACGGCTTGTGATCAGACCGGATAAAAGTAGGACCAAACAAATACTTACAATAAATATTTTACTTTAAAAGCCTGATTCTTTTCAAAGAATACTTTATATGTTGTTGCCATAAGATAGCTGAGAAAACTGATCTCATTCTTATAGTTTTGTGCTAGGCAAGGCAATTTTTTTTTATTTGTATAGAAGTAAGACACCACCAAGCATGAAACCAGAAGATGGGACAAAAGCTAGCCTGTCCCAGATCATGTTTTTTTAACTGGCTTTGTTTGCTTGTTTTTTTGTTAAACTGGAAATTGTTGTAAATCCCGATATATTACAGTGTAGCAGTGACATTTATAGTTTAACTCTCTGTAGAGCCAGGTTAACCTTTTTCCCTAATCTTTATCCTGGCAAAGCATTAGCAAACAAAGCTTGCTAATGCTAATAAGCTAACTGGCTCTCAATTAAACTTCATACTCAACAGAGAGACATGAAACCCTTCAAACTTGCTAATTATAATGTTGTACAATTACAGAACCACCTTTAAAAAGATCACTGTTGTGTTATATAATGAGGATTATGGCGCTAGTGAAAGTATTTATGTTTAAGAGAACTTGACTGGCTATTTTCTGCAAAGTTCCTCTAAAGTCAGGGTTTGATCACAAGCTACGAGATATTTCATTCCCTGGTACAATTTATTTATTATTAGTGAATTATTTTTTAAAAATCATTTACAGTGCTGTACAGAAGTCTTAAGTCATCCCATTTCTTCATCTCATTTCTTTATATTCTATTTTCAAGGAGCTGAATTTCCTTGTAATTTGGTCTTGAGCAATAACTCTCTGACGTTAGAGTCCAGTCCATGAACCTATTTTTTAATCCACTTAACACTGACCTATGAGTAATTCCAGCATAAAAAAGGAACTTAATTCCAGGGATGAACCACAGTTGTGTGTAGATATAACAGAACCAATTTTAAATGTTGCTTTAGGCACTTCTCTGCAGGCCTGCCACAGAAACACAGGATTTGTTCCCATTTTTTATTGAATATATGACAAATGCCAAAGATAACTCACCCTGACAGGCACAAAACAGTATATTTCACCAACAAAGTGATTCCCTAAGTCCTTTTAGCTACAAACATGACGCTATCAGTCATGGATTGGTCTCCCCGTGCCCGGATGGCCACATTATTGAATCAGTGTGGAATTATCTTGACCTTGGAATTATGTAGGGAGCAGAACAAAAAGCAGCCAACATTAAATGTCCTTAAAGAAGACTAGAGAATTCCTGAAGACAGCTTAAAAAAAATTAGAAAGCTGCCTAAGACAGTTCAAGCTATGTTGATGCCTATTGTGAAAGTAATGTTTGCACATTTTTCAGCAGAACTGCACTTTTACTTGCAAAATTCAAAGAAATAAGGGGTGGCTAAAGACTTTTGGTAAAGTACTATATGTCTCTGAGGACTTTGGATGCCATACACAGAGAATATATCTGTGAAGGTTCTCAGTCACCCAGGTCATCGTAGTCTAAGGAGCTTGGAAAGAAAAGTGTCTGGACTTCTTTAAGTTGCTTGAAGACGTTTCACCTTTCAACTTAAAGAAGTCCAGACACTTTTCTTTCCAAGCTCCTTAGACCATACACAGAGAAGTTATGCAATGCAGTTTTAGCTTGCTGGTGCCCAATTTAAATGTCTGTACTTTAGGACTTTCAGAGGCTCTGCAGGTTCTTCCTTTGTAACACAAGTTAAACACCTTCAGTCTGAAGCTTCATATTTAATAGAGAGGGGTTCAATGTTCTCATTTAATCCTGTAAAATAAGAACATCTTCAAAAATGTCAACATATGACATTTGTTAAAGGATTGGTAAGTACTTGGGTCAAATGCCTTATTCCTCATCATTAACATTGACTCTGAAGGTGTGTGTTCGACCTTTACAATACTTTATGAAAGGACAGATGCAGTATGACTGTGCAGACATTTGCACATCATACAAGCCTGCACTTACATATACAGTATGTAGGCAAAGTTACACAGCCACAGGAACTTAGCTCTTGCATCAGTTTCCTGTTGAAAGGCTGCATCACTTTAGTCCCAGAGCAAAAAGAAAAAGAAGCATCCACTACCTAACACAAGATATCTCAGGGTAGCATGAGGAGAATCATGAAGGGTCACCAGAGTTGAGGAAGTTCTACTTCCATACTGGCGCAAGTCTGGGATATTAATATCCATGTGAGGCAGATAAAATAGATGCCGCTCAGGCAGCTACTTCCTTCCACAGTACTGAACAACGCTGACACCAATGGCAGAAAAAAAAAAAGATTAGAGTTTAAAAAAAAATTATGGTACGACTGTACTGTAGAAACTGATCTAGTCACTGCTAGTGTCTGTGCTAACCTGTCGTGCCTTGAAAACCTGAGAGGAAACACCATTAAGTACTGCACTGATTCCACCCTGTGCAAACACCGCTGAGCACAGTATCAGTGGGTCTAGCACGCTGTACACTTTAAAAATATATCCTTGCATTAGTGTTGTTTGGTCAGCCGCTGGGGGCTACTCTGAGGCCCTCAAGAGAGGTGACGCAAAGTCTTAAAGCTTTTTGTGTAAATTGAAACCGTGAATTCTATGGTCTACGACGAGGGGTGTGTAAAACAAAAAAAAAGTGGGGTGTTAAGCAACTGTGGTCAACTTCGCCATTGTGCTTAAAAACCCACACAACCCCCTTGTTATGCCTTTGCTATCGGCTTGTTTTCTAATATGAACCACCTTTGACTTCTTTGGTTATACCACATGTAATTATAGGCAAAGAAATCAAAAGGGCCACTTTTTCTTCTACGAGGTACAAATCTTTGTTGTACAAGGTACAGATCTTGCGATGTGAATGTGAATGTGATCCCTGATTTCTTGGAATGTCAGTTGGTCAGTTTAAAGTTTACACGTCATTAGATAAGAACAAAAACTGTTTCGTTTCTAAAATTTGAAATGTAAAAGCCTTGCATCTGCTCTGGCTGTCAGTGAACGCAGCACGGCCACTGGCTTACCTATGCGAGCTGTCTCTGCCTTGAGGGTGCTGAAGTCCCAGTTGCGAGGTAGTTTCAGAGACATTGTCCTTCATTCATGCCACAGGTCAGTGTTTTAGTTCGCACATGCACCTCGCCGGAGCACACACACACACGCACACAGACAAACACACACACGCATACACACACTCAAACACACACACACAGACACACAGAGAGAAAGAGGAGATCTCGCAGATCAAACTTCCTTCTTCCTGTGTGTTAATCTTCTCTTTTTTTTCAGCTGTTCACAACGCGTCCCCTCGGGTTGCCTTTACTTCCATGTTCTGGTAGCTTACAGCAGAAATGGCTTCCAGGTTGTTTCACTAAAAAGGTGCAAAACGTTCCAGGGCTTCATGTCGTGGGGAACTCTTCAAGTGGCTAATGCTGGATGGTGTCACAAGAAGAAGAGGGGAGAAAAAAAAAAAGCCACCGGCGTCTTCTTAAAGGAAATGGTTTGTACCTCTTGGTGTCACTCCCTTAGTGAGCATGTTGCTTCACAGCTCAGCCCTCACTGAAGCAAAAGTCAGTATTTACAGAGGTGTTGTAAATGCTGATTTTTACATCTAAGGTGAAAGGTTAGGCATCTCACAGTGGCCCACAAAATACTCCCGACTGCACTGATGCTCACTTGTTTAATGATGGAGTAACTATTACACAGCTGGGTGTAAGGAAGTCAACTAAATGCAACTAAATGGGGAAGAAGCCCAAGAAGGAAGAAACCAGTCACGCAGTAACCACTTTTTTTTTCTTTTTTTTTTAAATACCTTTTAATTTTCTCTGAAACAAGACAAAGCACATTTCCGCATCAAAAAGAGTACAGCTTTTCTCTAGACAATGTACAACGCAACACAAACCATTGCACATTTGAATAATTATATAGTGAAATCATATAGCTGTATAATAACTTCAAACCACAAAATATAACACAAGGCAGGAGGGGAGTCTACACAGCATGTGGGACAGACACATCTCTCCCATACATTCCTTTTTTTAAAATTTTATTTCAAAGAGACTCCTGACTGAGCAGGATGCAAAAAAGCAAAGTGGCACTGTCTTGATAAAAGTAGCACAGAGGCATATCCAACTGTAGGTGCCCGAAAACAGGGGAAGAAGGAAAAACAACAACAACAAAAATCAGGTTTCCCTCTGAAAGTGGCATGATTATCTCTTAAAAATGACCTGCTTGTGAGCAAATCTCAACTTCAGGGGTTACTGGAATGTATCAAGCAGCAGTCAGAAAGGGTCAAACCCATCCACCCAGCACAGGAGCTCCAGCTCTCTCTAGTGGCCGTCTGCAACACCAGGCAGTGAAATGGCAGTACAGAGCTGCAGGCTTAAAAACTGTCGAAGGCCAACGAGATAGTGAGGCTCAAAAAAACAAACAAAAAAACCCAACAAAAATCACAAGATATCTATTTCTGCTGAGACACTAGCTACCTGGAACCTACTAGAATGAGTTTCCACACTGATTCAAGTCACACTCCACGCAGAAGTGAACATACAACGGCTATCAGGGAAAAGGTTAAATAAAAACACCCAAATGTACTAATAAAGCCACAGCAAGAAAACACCTTTCTGTCATTTCTGCACTTTTTCCTATATGGCAATAATAATAATAATAATACTTTCAATATTACTCTAAGAAAAATACTAAAGAACACTCAAAATAGTCTTCCTAAACAGCCTCTTAATAAATGTATAATATAGTAACTTTCAAAACGGTTTGCTTAAATAAAACATCTTCAGAAAGACGGAGTAGCTGGATGCAGCACAGAAATCATGAATGGAATGACAACACATAAAGCCATGCCTGGGTTTACACAACGGCTCCTATGGGAAAAAAGGGGGACCCTTTTATAAATTGATTGCCGCAATCTAGATCTGGGTAGCAATAAAGTGCATTGCTTAAAAATATAACTTTTTCTTGGGGGGGGGAAGAGTATCAGTTCAGAGGAAATTTAAGGTGAAATAAAGCAGTCGTTTACTGTATCAGCTGATTTGTATGGCTAGCATAGAGACATGCTGTCACACAGACAACATAAATATATATTTATATATAAATAATATAAATAGTATGCGTTTCTTACTCTCCATGATCATATCCCTGCTACACTGACTACTGCATGAATGTTCATATTGCTGTTTTGTCCTATGAGTAGACATGAAACAAAACAATGAATGTGTGCAAACACCATCCAAGTCTTTTGTCTACAGGGCTTCTCACCTGAACAATCACCGGTAATCTGAGTGGATTAATTTTCCATCTGTCTGTGAACTTTAATAACCCAGCACAGTGGAAGAAAAAGTGGAAAAGCCGAGGATGAAACAGCCAGACAATTCCCACAATGCATCTTAGCAGCGTATCCCTGACTCAAAGGCCCACTTTATTCCACCAAAATCTGTCTGCAGATTATGAAATGATCAAGAGCACGAGTCAGTGTGTGGCAGGTTTAATAAAAACAATGTGGTGGCCCTTAAACATCCCCAGATTGTGTGTGAAATCAGAAAAGAAGCCAGCTTTAATGAAGTCCCAGCTTTTATATTTTATCGTTAAATCCAATACACACAAACACACTTGAAAGTGGCAAAAATTAAAAAAGCCGCCACTGGAAAAGGGAATGAACTGCAATACGTACACAATAACGGATTGTATTGGCCAAAGTTTCACCCAATGAGATGGCAACAGGCCACAAATAAATCAAGTTGATCAGTCAGTATCGATATGCCGTTTGTGCTGCGCTCAAGCGGTGAAAAACAGTGACATCACAGCACGCACAAGCAGCTGGTGGCAGTGTAGAAACCCTAACTGTGGCATAGTTACACATTCCAGCTGTCAGAGGGAGTAGCCATAATGAAACGATCCCTCTGTACCTTACAGTCAACAAGCAACGGACCACAAAAAACAAAACATGTAAAACAAACATAGCCAGCTCTATTTGTGACATCATTTCTGCTGAACAGCAATAAGATGATAACGTAGCTTTTATGCTCCGTAAACACAAAACCACCAATAGTTGAACTCAAAGACTTGATGGACCTAAAGTGGACCTGTCCTCCCTCACTCACTCACTTACATACATACATTAATAACCATGGCTAACCTTTCAAACATGAGGTCAGTGCATGTGCAATCTCTGGGAGTTGTCTGGCTTTAGAAAGCTTCCCCCCCCCATTCTTGGCTCAGTGTGATTAAAAAGTCTGTTTATGCGCAGCAGCCAATCAGAACAAAGTTTAAAAGGGAAGGAAGCTGAAACAACTCGTTTCCGAGGATGAACTGAGGAGCTGCAGCAAGGCCCGGGGTAGGATATATAAGGAATTGTGAATCACATAAAGCTACCATCCAAGAGCTGGAACAAAGCATTAGAGGTCCCCTTCAAGTCTAATTTAGTCATTCACCTTTGATTTCGGCACAATAACGTCTTAAAGATTTGGCCAAGCATGAGAGGCTTTGATGAATGGCAGAAAAAAACAAAGACAAAAAATGTACATGGTAGATGGCGATGGTGAATTTAGCCTGACTTTTAAAAAAAAGAAAGAAAGAAAAAAAAGACATTAAGATATAATAGAACCATACCAAATATAAAAACATCTATTTATAAATAGAAAAACTCACAATAAAGAAAATTACCCTTAAATTAGAGGGAGGGTGCAGTAGAGTAAGAATACAGTGAGTAACAGCGCTGAGAGCAGTGCATTGAAATAATAAAAAAGAACAATAAAATATCAACACACATTAATAATAAGGTATATATAGAGGATATTGTGTGTACAGGTAGAAATGTACAGCAAACCAACATTTTGTTTAACAGTGTAACTAGATAGAGGTTGATGGTAATGGAAATGTGTAAAAGTACAGTAATTCACAAACTCAACCTGAAAACACTGGTGTCAGAAACATGATTCACAGACTGTAGGAACACAGACAAGCATGACTCCCACACCCACATGAAATGGAATGACCCAAGGCTGTCGATTTTGTGGTTTTCGGTTTGTTTTTCTTGGATGTGTTCTCGCTCATGCAAAAGCACTGAGTCTTCCCAGAGCTCCAGGGGTGCGCGGGGCTCCCTGGGTGCCGCTGCCCTCCTTTCCCGTCTCTCCCCTCCTCTTAGGGCGAGCCAGCTGTGGTTGTTGGCGGCTCTAAGCTGCGGCGGCCTCCTCCAGCGCTGGCAGCAGGCCTTTCTCGGTCAGGTGGGCCTTCAGGGAATTGAAGATGTAGAGCTGCTGATCTGGACGGAGGGCCAAGAGCTGCTGGATCACCTTGGTGGGGTTAGGGCCCCTGAAAGAAGGTGGAGAAATGCTTAGGCACAAATGTACTTAAAGTTTTATCCAGAAACCACTGCCTTTAAAATTAATTTCTAAGAAAAAAAAAAGGTGGGGAAACAACTTATAAAAGTTATTTTAAATGCAGTACATAGTGCGGACAGAAAAGCAGGTTTGGTGTAGGGAGGGAGTGGGTTGACTCAAAGCCTGGCCTCTGCAGTGGACTTTGGCTTATGGGTCATCTGCTCAACCAGTGGAAATACAGTGAGTTGGTTGATTAGTAACATGTTCGATGGACACGACCACCTTAGAGTGTTTTCACACCTGTAGTTCTTTCTTTCTTTTTGTAAACTTGTCGTTTATTTTTTTCTTTTATTGTCTAGTTTGTTTTCACACAGAAAAATTTAACTGTGTTTAGCGAACCAAAACGTGTCCTACGAATCAGCTGAAAATGTTCAGTCTGCTCATAGGTCAGGTGTCTGGGGCAGGAGAAACAAAAGTAAATACAGCAAGAGGGTAGGGCTGTTCGAGATAACGATATAAAAACGTCTATGTTTCATTTCACGCTATCGTTTGTTTCGTGGTGTCGCAAAATAAACTGTTTACAACAATATTTTCTCATCGTTTTGATGGTCACTGTAGTGGCTATATTAATGTATTAAAGTTCTCTCTTTCTCTTATATTTAATATAACCACGCTAAGGATGGACAAGCGCCTGTTTTTATGTGTTGTCAATAGCAACAACGACAGTAAAACTATCGCGTGTCCGCTTGTTTATTTTCCACATTAACCTTTCACAATAAAGCTCAAGATCCTGTTGAGACTTTTCAAAATAAACAGAATCATATGAAAAAGTATGCACTGAGAACTGAGAATCAGTGGCATTTAAATGTTGAGCCTGAGGCTTTGAAAACTTCCGTATCTGTCATGCAAATAGTTTTACTAAATACTGATTATACACTGTAAATACTGAGCACCTTATTGGAGATTAGTAGGAGTGAGAAGCGCTTCGTGTGAATGCGTTTGTCTTGTATTTTTAGAAGCTAAGAGTAGCAAGTTATTGTTTGCTGTTAAACATAGAGAGCTAACTGCACAGTACTGCTAAATAAGCCCACCTTAACTAATGTTAGCAGTCACTAAGACCACTGATTCTCCTCATATCACAGATAAATTCATCATTTCTCCTGATCTTCTGTTCCTGGTCTACTTATTAGCCCAATAGGCTATTAAATGTAAGGCTGTGGTCCATGTCTGCAACGTTCACCATATCCACAAAAGTTGAAACTGACAAATCAAGATTTGCAATTTCTCCTGGATGTGCCTTATTCAACCTCACTTCACAGAAACCATCCCTTCAGTCTGTGCAGACGCTGAACATTAGCTTACACTGAACTATTAGGTTTTATTACAAGCTTTAACGCTGCTTAAGCAACATAAAGAGCATGTAAAGGACAAAGACTGACAACAAGCAAGATGAAATACATTATATTATATTTTAAACTTCATAAATATATGCTTACCTAATGAAGCTAGCAATGTAGACATTAACAAATGTGGCCATGAGGTACTGGCAGTCAAATCTGTCCATAATGCCTCCGTGACCTGGGATGGTGTTTGCAAAATCCTGAAAGATGACATACAAGCTTAAAGCTACAAAAGACATGACATTCTGTGCGTGTGTGCGTTTTTAAAAGCCTTGCTTATATGCTCTGTATCTCTTTCAGAGCCTACTCCGTGGTAGGTTCTTTCTCTTTTCCAAAAATGGCCCAGAACGAAGTGTCACAATGGCTTAAGAAACACAAACACTGCTTGATAATCATAGGCCACATCCAACTTATGTGTGGTGAATAGTTTCTGTTGGTCCACATCCATACCTTGATTTTGAAAGCTCTCTTGAAGCCGCTAGCAAAGAAGCCACCAAAGGGTCCCACGATGGAGGCAAAGGAGGAGAGGGCAATGCTGTGGATCTGGAATGGATACAGGCGCACTGTGGTCTGTGGAAACATAGGACACGTTACATCCAATCTTGTTGAAACTCACAACTTGGGCCTGACAGTTTTAATAAGATATTGCCTTGTGTTTGCTCTAGGTGCGTATAAAACTTTGTATACTGTGTTTCAAGCTGTAACAGGCTGTAAGGTTTTCTTTAGCGCTGTTCAATAAAATTCTACAAGCTCTGCATACTTTTAATGTGTTGGTGAGAGGACTGTAAGAAGCCTAAATACTGGCACAGGATGAACCGCAACAAATAGCCACTGAATCTTACCCATCCAGTGACAGACTCCAGCATACTGGGGAGGAAGTAGTCCTGGAGCTGAAACAGCTCTGATGGCTCACAATCCACCTGGAAGCTGTTGGAATCGTTGTTGAACTCCACCGGACACACAAAGTAGCGATAGCCAGCCATGACGTAGGAGAGCTGTGAAGAGAGCAAAGTTATGCTTCAATCGTGTCACTTGTCACCAACTAACTGGACAGAGTTCAGAACTGACTGCTTTCCTGTGTTCTCGGCCCAGCCAGTCAGCCTTCCCACATGACCAATTACAAAGGAGTTTGTGCATGCATGTGCACAGTGCCGGCACCAGTAACGCATTAATGTGTCATTAGTATGGAAACTAGACGCTGTGACTGGAGACAACAACAGCTACAGCAAACCCAGTATAAAACTACACTTAATACACCCTCACCCAGCTGAACATGGGCATTTTAAAAAAGCTACCAAAGCCAAAGAGGCTAAAGCTAAAGATATCCAGAGCTCAGAGCAATCAACCTCAGCGTGAGTCTCAGCCACAAACATTTGTGATGAGTGCATGTTTAACTAAGTTGAGACAAACACATTGTGTTTGAAATGATTTGCTTCAGAGCTCATTACGCCCCGGAAACATGACACATACAGAAACTGAAGTGATGAACAATGATCCCCTCGAGGCCTACAGGTAAACGATGGGGTGGCAGCAGGGTTAGAACCGCAGACACCCACACAAGGAAGCAGTCGCAATGATGTTAGAGTGAGAGCTGAGAAGATGCAGCTTAAACAGGCATCTAAATCAGGAAGGTGTGGCTGGTATATGACATGAGGAGAGTGAGTTTTTCTGCCCTACACAGCTGATTTTACTCTATTTAACCATAATTCATTGTGAGATAAATACCACTTTGCATATTCAAGCAGCTCCTACAGAATGCTACACCGCTAAGAGCTAAAAGGAAAAAAATAAATAAATAAAATTCACATCCTACCATGATTCCAAAAACTATGGTGGAGAAGAATCCACCGATGAAGCCCTCCCAAGTCTTCTTAGGCGACAGCTGCAACAGCCAGTATCAAAGAAATCATACACCACCATACAGAGCACAACAGCCTTTAGGTGACTTGCTACATGCATCAATAATTCACAATAAACATTATATTAAAAACATTAAACATTTATGTATTTGCATTCCATGTTTAAGCAGCTTCAAACGTTCAAAATAACCAACCTTGATAAGAGGGGTTCGCCCAAAGAAGAAACCAAACATGTAGGCCATGATGTCATTACAGATCACACAAGAAATGGGCACAATGAACCTGATCACACAAAGAACAGTTTACATGGCAGGTGTATGGATATTTGCATTAAGGTGCAAAATAACTGAATTTTAATTAGATTTAGAGAATTGGATAAGGAGCCTTTAACGTACCAGATCATTCCCTCAAACAGGTTGTGAATGATGAGGTGAGACTGGGTCACAACAATCAGGAGAGTCACATGGGTCCAACCAAACTGTGCAGACGGGCACAAGATCAATGACGTGTAGTTAAATTCATACATTTTTGGACAATGACACAGGCTCTGTAAATTTTGTTTATAATCAGTGTCACGCTGAAGAGTTTTATCTGTATTGATTGTTTAACTAGCGTTTCTCACTTGTTAGTCTATAAGAGCATAACAGGGTACAAATATTTGTTATGTTTTAACCTTGTTGTGAAGCACTTTGGTTGTTTTAAATGTGCTATATAAATACAGTTGTATTGTATTAGTACCTGCTGGTCATGTTTTAGATGGTTTTTACAAGCTTTTGTGTTACCAAAAAATAAATAAATAAATAAATAAATAAAATAAAAAACTGTTACTGTGTTTCCATTCGGGTGTGTTTTTCTTAAGACCACTAGTGTTTCAACATAAACCTGCCCCACTGTAAACACACAGCTGGATCCTTTTACTTTGTTACATCGACAGCATTATTTCAACTATGGCTGCCCCTCCCTGAGCCTGGTTCTTCCTGTTAAAAGGGAGTTTTTCCTTCCCACTGTCACCAAAAAAAGACTGTTGGATTTTTCTCTGTATGTATTCTTGGAGGGTCTACCTTACAATATAGAGCGCCTTGAGGCGACTGTTGTTGTGGTAAAACTGAACTGAATTGAACTGTGTCAAAGATAGGGATGGGTATTGATAAGATTTTAACGATTCCGATTCCATTTTCGATTCTGTTTAACGATTCGATTCTTTATCGATTCTCTTATCGATTCTTTTTAAAAAAGGAGAACACTAAGTTCGATTAGCTTAGAACTTTGTTTTATATCTTCTCTTTGAACAAGATAGAAATTTAGGAGTAACATGGCCTTACAAACCCAACAGTGAGATCTTAAGAGATCCAGCCTACGGCTCTTCAATGGGGTGTCACAGGGTCCCCAGGAAAAAAAATTGTAAATGTAAAATAATAAAATAAATATTCTTCTGTAGCAATAACAAAGTATAACATAAATTATTCTGTAGCAATTACACAAGAATATCCAGTAATGTCCCTGCCTACAATTAAACACATTCACTTACCGAAAATCGGGGCATCTGCTGTGGCAAATGGGTGCAAGCCTTTTACCACAAACTTAGTCACTGCTCGGTGACATTCGTCTATCCTGGCCTGAAAGGAGACGCTACCGGTAGACTGCAGCGACAACTGCCAGCATCTGAGCCAGACTCTGTTGCTCTCTCATCATGGTCACCTAAATGCACAGTAATGGCGTTTTGTAATAAGGCAGCGGTAACATAATATGCACTGTTAGTTGATTATTTACCTGCCGCATTAACGGGAGAGGACGTGCAAACGTTACCGCTGCTGCTGGGTTGAGATTCACGAGTCAGCGGAATTAAAAACACGACATTCATTTAAGGTTATCTAGTGTTTTGTGAGCAAATGCTTTTGCATATTCGTAGTGTTTCCTCCCTTAAATGAAATATCTACTTTGCAAGTATTGCAAGTTGCCCTGTTGTCATCCGTTCTCGTAAAGTATAACCAAACTTTTGAGCGTTTGAGCCGCTGCGGTGTTTCCTGCCAGGTAAATGACGCTCCGCAACGTGGTGACGTCATTCGGGGCGACTGGAATCGATAAGGGAATCGTTTGCAAAAATGGCAAACAATTCCAAGGAATTGAAACAGTGGGAACCGGTTCTCAACAAGAACCAGTTTTCGATACCCATCCCTAGTCAAAGACGTATTCAAGATATATGTTGCACTAACTGTTGAGGAAGTCTTTTTTTTTTTTAAACATAATGACATATTTTTATTGATTCAACTGTAACTACAGCTATTCTTTCATTATCTTACATTAAGCAGGTCTGGAGATGATTCTACATGTTGGATTTGGCCTCCACAAAATGGAGGTCAAAGTTGCTCTCAATGCATTTCATAACCTGCCAACAGTAAAACAAATCTGACAGAAATAGCAGGCACATTAGGTATGGCCAAATCAAAGTGGAATGTACTAGTGGGGGGTTTTTTCTGCAGGATCCATCTCTGACCCAATTTCCCTTTTACTTGAGGGTTTATATTTTAGCTAGCCTCATGAATAAGCCAGTAGCCTTGAGGCAGGATGCACGGAGCATGCAGGGCAGCACTTACCATGTAAAACTGAAGGCGGTAATGTTTCTTCACCAAACTCAGCACAAACATACAGAAACCTGCAACAACAGGACGACTTATTAAGACACACAGACCAACAGCATCTGTAAAGAGGAGGAAACCTCCTTAAGGTCATCTTTGGTCAAACTGATTCAATCTAGCTTGACTTATTTCACAGCATGCCTACTTTAGGATGCAGTGAATATTTTTCTTTTACGTGACTGAGGAAACGAGAGGATGTTGTAAAGCAAAGAATATCTGAGAAAATGTGGCCTGAACGGAAGTTGACTCAGACATACTGACGCTGTTGGTTTCCTGGACTCTTCAGACTGACAGTAAAGCTTCTTCAAGCAAGACATTAAGATGTACAGGATGACAAAACTCTGCATTAAATGTCACTTCAAATCACGAGCTTCAGAGCATTTGTGCTCAAAGTCATAACGAGCCATTCAATTGCACCTTAAATCTAGTAGGTAAGACAGTCTGGGTGCTTCCTTCCTCCCCACATCCTGTTTGGCATCAGCAAGAAGCTATAGTAGTAATGTATTACTAACTGACAAAGAAGTACAGGAAGTGGAACATCTAAAGTTAGCATAGTAACTGAAACAATAAGCTTTGAACTAACTAACATATAAAACCTTGAGACTCATTTTTCCATCAAAGCATGCCTGTGTGCTTCCACCAATCAGTCAAGTCCTAGTTTACATCACTTGAAACTCAAATAACATAACTGAATAATATGATATGTATTAATATATAAAGGAACAATTTCATTGTACAGGGAAACATTTTTCTTTACTGTGCATACAACAATTAAACTTTGAACAGTTGAATGACTCATGGAAATATTACTGATTGTAAATGTATTTTGTTGAGTCAGACTGACCAATCACTGACTTCTCTTAAAAGAAATTTGACACTTCTGGTTGCTATGACAATGTAAACTGCATCTAATGTCTGTTTATTGATTGTGCACTTATCTCATGTTCAGCAGTTTGTTTTAGTGTAATAAACATTTATTATAAGTCATTACTGAATAACTTGGAAGAATGTTTGTTGTGGGCAGCTGGCATGATGACGTTAACACAGAATCTACAGCAGGACTTTGTGTCTTTCTACCTGTGAGGTAGAGCGCGAAGGAGATGAAGCGGTGGTATTTGCTGAGGATGCGAAGGGGTTCCTCCCTCTGAACCAGTGTGAAGAAATAATCTGTCACGGTCTCACCATAGAAGAAGTAGTTCACACACAGCAGGAAGTACCTGTAATTCAAAGGGTTAGAGTAAATGTACGCAGCTGATGGTGTTGTCACAGGAGCTAATCAGACTCTGAATTCAATATGCCAGCGGGGGGGGAAACACAAATACAAATAAATCAACAAGGCTGACTAACTTCTCTTCATGAAAACTGCAGACAGCTAAAAGTTTACACCTGTACATGGAGAACAGTGTTCCAAGGAGTTTGAGTTTCCTGGCATAGTGAATATCAGGATTACACTACACTATAAACCACTACTGCTACAAATCAAACAGCACTGATGATTCATTGTAATTCTGCTATAATATATAATCTTTAAGATACTGCTAATTTAAAATGGGTTGATAACAAACCTCAGGACATCTGTAACAAAGTAAAAACATGAGACAATACAATAAGAAAGAAGCCAACATGGACATTTGCTTTTAATATCCCATTCTTTGTCTTGCCAAGTGAACACTGTGTGTGTCTGTGTCCTCACCAGCTCAATGTCCTGAACCACGGCAGGTCGTAGGAGTGGTACACACTGTAACCAATGGTAATGATTTCCTGGAAGCATTTTATCTGGACACAGAGGACCTGCGTAGATAAAACACTGTGTCAGCAGCACAAAGGCAAAATATTGATAGGACAAACCAGAACGGGCTTTTGGGGTGACAGAAAACATGGCAAGATCAGTCAAAGTACAGTAGAAGATACCGGTTACTTTATCTGACAGAAATGGATGAATATTCCACAGTCCAATAGTCTGAATGTATTGATGAGCAACACTGTGGATCACACTTGTGTAAATAAGACCACAATAAACAAAACTAGTTAATAAAGATCATTATTACAACACTGCTGATTCTCCACTGGCTCTGTTAAACCTCTTTGCAGGGCACCAAATACTCCTCTGTGCAGGAAAAACCCTGAGCTCAACTCAGTGTGTGTTTCTGTGTGTGTGACACAGTATGGTGTCCTACTGACACAAAATGGCTGACAGGCCTATTTTCAGGGTATTCCCTGATGACGGAGGCAACTATCCTGCAAATGATTAGAGAGACTGGATCCTCTTTAATCCACAATACTATGATTTTAATTTGCCTTAAAAAAAAAAACTGACTGCGCTGCTTAGAGTAGCTCTGAGCATTAACACGTCTTCTATATATACTCAGTGAGAAAAAGTCTGATTCGTAACACGATTCATCTTAACTGAAATAATTTTGTATCAAAAAGCTTAATTTGTCTCAAGTCACAAACGATGGCTCTAAAAGTGGAATGACAAGTCAAGTCAAGCAGGACAAATCAGTAGTTTGTACTCACAATCATCATAAGCACCATGGGGCCCAAGTAGATGATGAAGAAGAAGAAGGAGATCATGGCTAGTGTTAGGATCCCTCGTACCCACCAGTTCTTCCATCTGAAGAAAAGACATAAACAATGACACTGGCAAATGACAATACAAAAAAATTTAAAAAAGCAACAAGCGAGTTGTATTTTAAACGTAAGCACAACTGAAAGAGCCTGGGCCAAAACTTTTACTTATATTATGTTATCAAAAAGGCCAAAATCATTCAAATATGTGACGAGGAATTCCTTTGTATGAATCATGACACCTCCACAGTGGCAACGCGGCTTGGCATCCACACGTACCCGGGTATTTTTGAAAACGCAGATTTTTCTATGCGTTTGCACCTTTCGTCCACACGTAAATGGCGTTTTCGGTCACTGAAAACAGAGATTTTTAAAAACTCCTGCCAGGGTGGAGATTTTCAAAAACTCCGTCGTTGCATTTACGTGTGGACGAGGAAAACAGAGAAAACGCAGCGTCAAAGGTGTGCGCCTTTTTCACGTCACTCGTTATTGTTTCGTTGAAATGGATTTCTACAATAGCGGACTTAGACAATACTGTTAACTTTACTCTCTGCAGTGTTTAAATGCTTACATATACAACACAGTTACTGTCCCTCCACACATAGACGCAGAACTGAGTTCTATGCGCCATCTTTGTTTACTCTTTCCCACCCAGGCTTCTAGACTTTTGATTGGCCAACATTTCTACACGGATAGAAATATATCGCTAACTGTTGCTTTGGCATGTTCCTAGCAGCCTGGACGGGATTTAAAAAAAAATTAATTTTAAATTTAAAAAAATTAAAAAAAAACGGAAAATCTCCATTTTCAAAAATACCCGTGTACGTGTGGACGTAGCCTTACATGCAGTCCAGAAAAAACCCGGGGTTCTTGTTTAGGTGGGTGGGTTTAAAATGAGCGCATAGCAACTCACAGTACACAGACAATGGGGGTGTTCGATATCAATAAACAAGACCGAGCGTGTTCCGGCCCTAGGAAGAGGACGCATCTTTATGTTCATAGCTTTAAAACACACTGCAAACAGCTTGCAGTTTATATTTCCTTTGATACTCAGCATACCTTGAAGAGAGTCCAGACAGCGCCTTATTTAAAACCTCAGGGGTGTCGTCAGGAGGGACCGGCACCTCTGGGACACCAGAGTCCACTTTGGACTCACTGTCTGACACCCCCTCTTTTTCTGCCTTCAGTTCATTGTCCGAACCCTGCAAACAGACAAAAACAGAGAAGAAATGGAAGATTTGGCTCTGAAAGGGAAGGAAAACAACTATTCTAATATAACCATAACAGAACATTTAGATATGTGCTGTTTAATCATAGATCACGGATGAACTTAGGAGAGTTTACCTTTTCTCTCTGAGCTATCCAGGAATATGATGCATGTCTGTTTTTTTACATATTTACAGGAGCAATGAGCTGGTGCTGTGGTCACGCGATAAAATACCTGGGTAAGTAATCTCTTGGTACTTTTTGCCCAACACTCATATGACACATTTGTGACACATGTGACAAACCAAAAAAAAACAAAAAACTAACACCACCTTTACCCAAAATGGTAACATATGCAACTCTAAAAACTCCCCACCCCACAAACACTTTATTACCATTACTGCATGAAAACCAGGCTGGTTAGAACTAACAGCATGTCAACCTGCACAGATGTTTTCAGTTCTGCCAGTTACTCGGGTTGAGGTGAGGTGGTGGTTGTGAAAGCACCACACAATTTCAAAATAACAGTGAAGTGGTTCTTCTCCAACAGTTTCAGTAAAAAATAAATAAATAAATAAAAAAACCTAAATAGGTGAGATGTTTGTTGGCTGCTGGCATCTGTAATATTTTCCATCTTCACACAGCACCAATGTATTATAAAACTATCAAAAATAAACAATTTAAAAACAAAAACAGTGATGCTAGGCTACTGCTTTAGGAGAAAAAGAGCCGCATAACAAATGGACAGATGGAATGTGGAGAGGATAATGCTTACTATTACATACTTAATGCAAGAATATTAAGAAGTCTTTATAATAAGACCTGTTTTACTTTTTAAGATCCGTTTAACAAATGAGAAGAGAGGAAAAAACAGCTCTGACGTGTGCAGGCTTACTTTCAAATAAAACATCATTTTGCAGGTCTATTTGAGTCCCACTTTCAAATAATCATGAAAACTATTTGTATGTAATTATGACTTCAGTCCACTTCAGTGTGCTGTCATCTTGTTTTCTCATCAAGCCGCAGGCAGAAATCAACCATCCAGCCCTGAGCATAAAGTAAAATTGCATCAAGTGTCCAAAACTACATGTATCGTGTCTCTCGCTCGTTCGCAAATCCTTAAATACATGTGGACGAATCGCCTGATACGCGCAGATGACATCGCATGCCCACATGGAGTTTTGAGACTAATTTAAAGCTGTCAGCTTCACACAGATCCGCAAATGTAAGCTGCGTTTCAGTCCCAGTGTGAAACAAATATGTACAAATCATTGCTTGTAACACATTTGCAACACTTTGAGACATATTTCCCTCCATATCGAAAGCATACTTTTCGTATGTTCACGTAAGTATCAGAATGGCAGATTTAGCGCCCGATCCCCCTGCTCCGATGTACAGATACCTCTGGCTAATGCTTAGTGTTCCACGTTAAGTTAAGTTAAGTTAAGTTAAGTTAAGTTAAGTTAAGTTAAGTTAAGTTAAGTTAAGTTAAGTTAAGTTAAGTTAAGTTAAGTTAAGTTAAGTTAAGTTAAGTTAAGTTAAGTTAAGTTAAGTTTTATTAGAATTTGTTTCGTTACAGCAAAAGTGCAAAGTTATGTAGCAGAAATTAGAAAACACTGGAATGCAATAAAATAAAATACTATATACAATAGAATAAAATAGAATAATATAAACAGTAGTTTGGCTCGTGGCTGGTAACTAGCTTTCTGGTCTGGGTCCATTAGACTCTCTTTCGTCTGCAGTAGCTACCACTATAAACATACTCTTCTTTTTCTCACTCAAACTTCTGCAACAAACTTTGTGCTGCAGATGTTACTGTTACTCGCTGTAGCGCACACACACCGCAGAAGCGTAATCCCCTTTCTTTCCCGAGAGAGATGGATGGATGGATACTAAATGTCCGTTAGTGAGTTATTGTGCAAGAGGAGAAATACAAAGCAACAGAGCAATGTGTTCTGAGAAGTGGTTTAGAGCAAACAACAAATTTTGCTCAGGGTGCGTCTGTGTGGAAAAAAAGCAGGAAAAAAAAAAAGCATCGGCTTCATCTGAGATGAACATATTATGATTAATGGACTGTCAGTGTACAGTCATGTGTGGGAGGCTAAACACTGCTCCAAATCATCTCCATCCATATTGTTGATTTCTCAAAACCATCTGTTTGCTAATGAAGGCCTGCCTACAACACTGACTGATCTTTATCCCCCCATAGCGGCAATGCTGAAAAAATATGGATGGTTAGAGCTCCTGTGCCAATAATAGAGAGGGTTTTTTAAGGCAGTTTGTTCTTTCACTTCTCATTCATCCCCTGCTGCCCTCTCTGCTGCTGGTGACCAAATAAGGCTTGGAGTTGACACATCAGATTCACCCAGCAGATGGCTGACGTGGTTTTGTGACACCCACTTGGTCTCACATTCACAATTTGGCAAATAATCCATACTACAGCTGGATATTTATTAGATTAAAAACAAACAAATAACAATGTGTCTTTAAAAAAAATCAGCCCGTATACTGGACGTTTACATCACCAAATATTATATTAGTCGGGCTCCGGCTTTAATACATAATAATACTTCTTGTTAGGCATGCATCACTCAAATATTGATATCAGTCCAATATGAACTAGCATGATGAGACGTTTGGTTACATGTTGGTGAGATGTTCTATTTAATTCAGTTTCACTTTGTTCTACATTTACTTAGCCACACAGACAAGATATAGATACCTTAGCGTAAAGTCTGCCAAAACAGTGAGGACGAGACATGAACAATATCAGGCTCAAAACACGGATTTGGTAACTTTATAAAAGAAAATGCAGCAAATAAATATATCTTAGAATATAAATTGACTAAATCTGAATGATCAGTTAAATGATAAATGAAAACAGGACCAAAATAAAAAGTATTAAAAATGTATTCAGCGAATTTATCTTCTCTAGTCTAACTTCAGCACTGTGTGATATTTAAAGTCATAACAGTTTCTCCTTTCCTCATCTCAGTCTAAGTGCACCTCATTTTACTGCTCCTCATACAAGTTACAGTAGCAGTGGAGCATCCAGGAGACAAATGAAGTCAAATAATATTAATGGAGTTGGTTGTAACAGGTTATTAGATGCAATAAATACTTATAAGTAACACTGAAGACACACAGACACACAAGTTAGAGAGCAAGAACGACTTATTTGAGCTTTTTACACTAATATCACACCAGTGCTCCTCTAATTTGATATTCTCCATCTGCCCACGCCCCAGGCCAAGGTCTCTGTATCTGAGTTTGGTAAGTAACCCTACTTTTTCTGTTATTCAAACCAACATATTAACACTAAAAACTTGGTTCAAGATAAACAGTTCCTGTGAGCAAGAACTTCAAGTAGAAAAGTTTCTAATAACAAAACGCTGCTGTGTTAAGTTTGCAAGCTTTTTAAGAGAGATTTAATCCAGAGGTTGAGGATCGCATGTTTCTATTAATGTTGTGAACAAAATAGTGATTCCCTGATTGGCTGCATCATGTTTGTTACAAGTCAGCCAAATATATATTAAAAAACATTGTATGTTTTATAAGACTTAGAAAATTTAATTAAGTTCCCTTCAAATTATATGAAACAGTCACTAGTGTGCACTGCCACCTAGAAGTCAAAACCCAGGAGATGAATGCAGAAGCACACACAAGAATCCACATACACACAGGCCCATTCTCCTTTTCCTGGTTTCTATGGAGACAATATCCGTCATTCAGGATGCTTGAGTTAAAAATAGACGCTCCTTTCACATAAACACTTCTTCCCTTTTATGCTGTCTTGCACATCTGGGTTTGTTTTTTCTTTAATCTCTAACTGATTAGAAAAGGCTGCTTCTGTCAGCCATAAAAGGCCATTTTTATTTGGATCTTATGGTTTTCGTGCAAAGAGGAAAGCGATTCCTTCACAGGGAGGCAGATACAAAAGTGCAGGCTTGTGATCTAGCTTCACCATGCTGGAAAGTAGCCAAAGTAGACAACTGTGATCAAACAGTTTAACTCTACTGACGTCATCAAGACACTGCAGCTATACCATGAGGTTATGTAACCTAATCAAAGACTGAAGCATTCATGCGCTTGTGAACTGAATTTCACTATATTTCAAATTATGCAATCCACCATAAAACTACCTCAACAAAAGTAATTTCATCAGCTAATATAACTGTCTTTAGAGCAACTTTTTCTTTAGTAAATTGCGTGATATTACACAGAGTTACAAATGTTTGTCCACATGTGCGCCTCCACCAAGCTAGACTTTTTCAAATAAACCCTGGTTCTGCTCAGGCAAACTACTGATAAATAGTTAACTGCAAATAATCTGGTTGGGTATTCTGTATTGTCAGTGTCAATTTCTTTTATTTCAGCAGAAGTGGACATAAAATGGATACTTTTGTATCAGAATTGTAGCATTATTATTATTATTATCGAAAATAATACAAATTATTCACCTGATTGCACAACTGCAAGCTCAAGGTCATGAGGTAGGCTGCTCTTAAACAAGTCATGGCAAAAAAGTAAATAATAAAGAACACGTTAAACCAGTCACAGTGCTCTTCCCTGGAAAATTACATTAGCCTGTGTGGCTCGCTGTGAGGATGTCACTAATGCTTCCACTACTTTCTCCAACTGCTTTCAGCTACTCTCCAATTTTCTGTAATTATCTCGTCCTAGATATCCACACGTCTATCACCACGCCCCTTTCTTCATTCAATGCCACGCATCGTCCATGTTGAACTCATAAATGTTGCTTTTATTTCCCCTCACTCTGACTGAAACAGCTTAATAACAGTTTGTTAAGAGAGATTAATTATAATATCGTGCTACCCATCAGTCTACGACGCGAAGCAGTGGTTGTTAATGTAACTACAGCTACTAAACACTTTAGCCTACCAGGGCTCGCGAACATCATCGCTATCGGTCATATCAAACCAAAATTTACAAATATAAATAAATAAATACACAAACAAAATAAAACGTTTAGCTTAACGCTGCTGCTGAACATTTAGCATCGGTGCTAGCTCATAAAGGGCCAACATGGAGACCTTCATCGCTTATTTACCTCTGTGTGCAACGGCGTATGTGGCTAGCTTGCAGCACGCCTTACAAATCTAAGTTTATTATTTTTGGATTTTCTGGTAGACTGCTTAGCATTCAAGAAAAAGCGTCTTCAAATGTATTTAAAGGGTTTTTGTTGGACAAGACCAGCTGCTATACACATCGGCATAACGTAGGTGAAAAGGGCAGCTCCAGAATCGATGAAATTTTAACTTTTGCATTTGGTTTGCTGTTGTTTTCGCAGCGGACGAACACACAGGAAGACGGTGTGTACCACCAGCCAATCAAGTTTAAAATTTGAGTAGTTTGGCGGATGGTTTGTATAGCGTCTTTCAGATGCTTTTAACAGCTTTTACGTTGTAAGATGCGGTTATAAGAGTAAATTGACGACAGCCTTGTAAAACTTAAACATGCCTTATTATTCATTCTGACATGACCTTTCTTAGTCACACCAGTCGCAGTGTAACGGGAATTTCAAATCGCTCGGTGGCTAGTTAGCGTCAGGACCGCTAAATGGCAGGACTGAGTCCAAGCTAACGTTACCTTGTCCTCTGACGGCTGCTGCTGAAACGAAGGGTCGCTGTCTTTGGGTCCACGGTGCCTCAGCTCTGCCATCTTAGCGGGTCGTGACCTGACGACAACAGCGAAGGTCCTGCAGCTCCCACAAACAACCTCTTTGTTTTTTGGAGACTGACACCTCCTCTGCTAAGCTCCTAGCTAAATTTCTGCAAACAACACTTTCCACCCAATTCACGATCATTCACTTCCTGTTTTCAAAATAAATCTCCATATTGACTACCCAACATAATGCTAACATGACATTAAAGAATCTTATTTTAGAATAAATATTAATGGTAATATTACAATTCATGCAACATCTAACTCTTTCGGGATTGCTTCAAGAAACTGACCATTTATTATTCTTTATGTTTCTTTCGTCTTTACTGACAGTCTTTAAAAAATATTAACAATAAGATTATAGGAAATGCTTGAAACGTCTCTCAACATGAACTGGTAAACCTCCAGGCTTTATTAACTTGATTTATCCGGAAGTTTCATGTTGTTTCATGTTGCCCAAATATGTAGTGTATATACCGGTATTGCATATTGTACGACTGCAATATGAATCCATGATAAGCTGATACTAAATGTGGCTATTTGTTTCTTCTAAATTCCAATTTCCCTTTTCACCCCAGTTTGTAAAAAAAAGTCACATCATAGATTTGTTTTTGTTTTGTTTTTTGTTTTTCAATCCAGTTGTAGTTAACAACAGTAACGTCTGTCTGTTGGGTCCTCTGGACTGGTTTGGTCAGTCATTTTTTATTTTTTGACTGAGGCACTTTTCACAATTTGATTTGTAGAATACATCAACTTGGCTTCTTAATTTTTTCCTGTTTATTTTGGTTCCTTTTTAAAAGGATCATTCGTGGGATATTTGAAAACATTGCCCCTATGCAGCTATGCCAAGTGAAAACTGTGTGCGTGTGTGTGCTTTTATTGTGAAATTATAGCTAATGTTTACTTGAATATGGGCTAGCTTGACCTTTCCAGCAGAACTCCCTGATGTCATTTTAAGGTGTGGGTTATGTTCAAGAAAAATACTGTGAATGGCATTTAGAGTGCCACAGATGTAATTAACAATAATTAATAATGATGATGACGAAAAGTTCAAGAGGAACAATATTTGAGCCTTTTATACCAGGATGTATATTCTTAGTTTAAATTTCTTAATAGTAGTCTTGCAGATGTAAATGTAAGATTGACTCAGTGATATTACTAATGCAAACGTTGCAACAGTACAGTTGTAGTGAAAAGAAAAGTAATTAATTAAAATGATCTAAATCCAAACTGAGATGAATAACAGTATATGACATATTACATCTTGTCATTATTTATTTGACAAACACTAAGCCAAAACCCAGTGTGGCAATGTGTAAAAAACTAAGTACATTACCATTGCTCAGTAGCTTGTACAACCATCTTTGGTAGTAATAATTTCAAATAGGGTTTAGGGGCATCTTTCCGAACCTAAGCAATGCTGCCATGCTGTTTTTAGAGAGTAGACACTTTCTCCTGCCAACACTTCCAAACAAGACATACTTGGTCATTCTTATTCCATTGATACTGCTATGAATGTTAACATTTAACATGCTATCTAAGGCTTGTAGAGTGAAAAATGCAGCTCTTGTTTGTTTTTTGTTTTTTTGCAGAAAAGGGTGGTACTTAAAAATAAAAGGAAAAAATGTTTAACAATAAAAGAAATGACCGTGCTTTACAATCTTACGCAAATATTAGCATTTTCCAAACTTTTTTTCAACAACAAAAAATCTGAAAGAAAAACAGAATTTGAACATACACTGTGTGTCCATTTTAGACAAACAAAAACAGAGACAGACTCATGTCTAGAGGACTATTAGACAGAACAAGGCAGTTTCCACCTCTTTACAATTATCTGTAATTTGCACCTTTAACACCAAGTGGCAGCAAACGCTCGCTGGAAGCATGTGTGCCTGCGTTTCAGCTCTGTGGAGCTGACGACATCCAGCTCTTATAAATACTTAATGGTTCGCTGCTGTTGCAGCAGACGTGGAACAAGCGGTGCAGCCCAAATATAACAGTTCAATAGGATGTGGTATTAAACTGTTGAGTGTTCACTGTCTGCACATGAGCAGAGCTGCGATGCAGACCAGCATTATTCAGGATGATCATGCAGAGGCAGTTTGCATTTAGCAACAGCCTACCTGACTCTAAACCTTGTTGCTTAATACTGGAATATATCAGTAGGTGCCACTGCTGCACTGATTTGCATGACCATCACAGATTTTTTGCATGCCTTTGTATTGTAGAAACCACAGGAGTGAGCTATAAGACATTAAATGTACACCTGTACAGGAGATGTTCAAAGAATTCTAAACGACAGATTAGCGACTAAACGGAGGAACTGAAGCTTCTTCTCATTTGCTTCAGCCATGTCTCGCCTGGAGGCACGTCTGTCTTATTTTTAATCTCCTAATTTAGTTGAATTCTCATAACTCGTCTTTATACGTGTCTTTCTTTATTAGCTTGTGTCTCTTTTATATCTCGCCCCAGTGTTTTATGACTTGAATTGCCTTGTTTTTGACAGACTCTGTGCTGCAATTTCCTTTAAAACCAGAAAGAGACAATCAATTTTAAAAGTTTTGTTTTTCCATTTGAATAGAATAGAATAGAATAGAATTGCACACGTACAGCAAAATTGTGGAAGAAAGTTGATAATAACATTTAGCCATGACTAGATGAAGTATCTTTTATGTCTAATATTTTGAAGTATCACAGAATATTACAGAAATACAACACATTTCATTTTACTGACATTCTGTTTGTTAATCAATACTAATGATGTGTGTTGATGATCGATGCTCAGTCATTAAATTCTGCATTGATTTTGTGGCATTTGGTCCTTCAGCGCCTGCCTTGCTTCACTTCATGCTCTATCTGTTGTTGTTTGTATGGTTATACGGATATATTGTTTTACCAGATGCACCATTGATGTGTGTATCTAAACTGATCTATATTTATTGCAGTCATTTACCATGACTTGTGGAAAGGAGAGCATGCTGTTTAAAAAAAAAAAGTTTAATGATTCACTGTGTATCCTTTTTCTTTTTAAATTAAGCTGTGACCTAGAAATTCTCTCAAATCACTAAAAGAAGGAAAATGGTTCAGAAAATCACCACACCACACACTCACACACCCGCCCACCCAAAGATTAGGACTGCGGTGATTTGAAGGGTGGGTGGGCGAGTGAAGGGCATTATCCTTGGTGCAGAGTGTTGCCGTGGACATTCGCTGCGCATGTGCCGTGTTACTGTGTTTGTTCCTGTCATGCTACGACTGTCGCCCTTCCTGTGGTGCACAGCCAGTCTGCTGTTTCCGCTCGCCTGGCCTCTCTGTGTCAGGCAGCCCAAATTTTGGCTGGGACTCTTCAGCAGCTCCTCCAGAACTGCAGGGCTCTGGGACATCTGCAATGCAGAAGTCTATATATAGCAATGGTGTGAGAGGGAGAGAGAGTGAAAGAGAGAGGGGGGCAAGACATGGTGGTGGTGTGGGGGGATAGGAGAGAGGGAAACAAGGAATAAAAAGTGTCCATCTTGAGCTTGCAGAAAGCAGTTTCATGTTTTACCTCCATATCTTGTGAAATTGAAAACTGGGATGCACATTTAAAAAAACTCGTGTGTCTGTGAAACCCACGCACCAACTGAGTGTCCACTCAGGATGTCAGCACACACGGTGACAAGGACACTGAGGAGAGTGTGGTATCTCACTATTTAACTCACTTAAAAGACGAAATGTAATCACGTTCTTGCAGAGTCCCAGCAAACAGAGCAGGGAAGGTGGGCTGTATACTGCTGAGCATTTACAGCTTTATCTCAGAGGGTGGGGGCTCGGGAGGGCAGCGGAGGAGGAGCAGGCGAGCGGGTCAATTATGTATGCACCTCCACAAACAACAGAATCTGCTGACAACAGAGCTCAGCACGCACAGAGCAGCATCGCAGCCAAATAAAGGACGGCTGGACAGGCGGACCCGTGGACCACAGGCCTGCAGAGCTGCTGGGGACATTGATCAAAAACTCTTGAATTTTCAATAAGTCTGCCCTCTGACACGCTCTCTGCATTACTCCTCACCACAGAGGTCTGTGCTGAGTCACGATGCTCCTCTTGTCACTGCTGAGATGAGTTCAGAATGCAGAGAGGAAAGCTTGAGCTGCAGCACGGGCTTTGCACAATAGCTTTTTAAAGGTCATTCCTCACCTGATGCAGATGTGCACCTCTGCCTACACTCAAAAAAGCAATTTATCACCCTAATTAAATGTGAAGCGATAATTTTGAGTAAAATCCAATTGAAATATATCAAATCAAAGACTTATTCATTTAAATAATTACTCATTAAGGAAAATGTGCTTGGTTTAATCTGAAAGTATCAGGTCAATTTTATTTGACCAGATTCCATTAAATTGAAATTTTTGCATTGTGTTTATATAGCAAGATTACAAGAACTTCTATTTATATGAGCTAAAATCTGCATTTTGCCCATGTGCCCCTGTGCATCACGTTATTTATTCATTTGAATGATGTATCTGTTAAAGACAAAGTTCTCCAGTTTGGGAAACATGTAATCTGCATGTTTACTATCTGAATATTCTTATTCACTTTACGAGCTTTATGCTAACAGTTCCTATTTAACCAGGCAGCTGCGAGTACATGTAAAAAATTAACTAATCATATTTTTCTAAAATCTCAAGTGTCAAATGTTATATACTGATAATAAAGCACCATAGATCGAGTCACATGTAATCTTGTTGGGTCATTCAATAATAAAATGTTCTTTTTCTTTTTACTTTTTTATGTGAGCATCCGTATTATGGGATGTGTCATAGTTTCCATGGCAAAACTGCACCAGTGTGATATCTGTGATGCAGTATAACAGGAAAACAAAAATTGAAAGGTCTTTTTACCTGCAGAAGAACCTTGAGAACAGGCTTTCCTGTGTTATAATACTTTTCTAATATAGTCCATTTTTCACACCTGGACATGAAACTTCTTACAGTATGAAGGTACAAATATTTGAATATGTCATGAAAATATGCTGAAGTTGTTGTAGTAAATATGATCGGCTGAGGAGGTCAACTCTTTCTGCAGATCCAGATGCACTTGCGGGTAGATGTGTGATAAGAAATCCTCCAGCAGAGGCTAAGTTAACCTCAGCGCACTGACTGTATTGATGCAGTAAGATGGTGATGTAAAACTATTGATTGCCCCATACAAGATGTATCACATTGCTTTCCTGAAACTAATACGTGCTCCTTTTTCATCTAATCCTCAACTTGGGAGAAAAATCATTCGTCTTTGCTCTTTCCCCTGCTTTCTGACACTTTTATTGATTGTCTCTTTTTTTCTCAGACACACTCGTACTCACACAGAAGACTACAGCCCAGGAGCTGGGGGGAAAACAGTCCTGGGCTGTGATGAAGTTCTTGCTGTTGACAGCTGTGCCGGTGGGCCGGTGTTAGCAGGTGCCATCCATCTTTTACCTCTGGGCCAGGCAGAAGTTGAGATGAGCCAAGAGATAAATATCAGGGTAATCAGGAGCCAGGCAGTCGTATCATTGGACGTAGACAGTAAACTGAAGAAAAGTAAATTCAACAACAAGTGTTTTTCCTTCTAACAGCTGATCCTCTTTTAACTAGATCCTCTCTGATGGGTCTCTTATTTGAGGATGACGGACTGAAACCACAAAAAAATGTATTTAATGTGGCAGTTCAGGTGTTACCTTACAATAATTCAATTCGATTTTATTTATACAGCGCCAAATCACAACATCAGTCGCCTCAAGGTGCTTTATATTGTAAGGTAGACCCCACAATAATACATACAGAGAAAAACCCAACAATCATATGACCCCTATGAGCAAGCACTTTGGCAACAGTGGGAAGGAAAAACTCCCTTTTAACAGGAAGAAACCTCCGGCAGAACCAGGCTCAGGGAGGGGCGGGGCCATCTTCTGCGACCGGTTGGGGTGAGAGAAGGAAGACAGGATAAAAGACATGCTGTGGAAGAGAGACAGAGGTTAATAACAGATATGATTCAATGCAGAGAGGTCTGTTAACACATAGTGAGTGAGAAAGGTGACTGAAGAACAAACACTCAATGCATCATGGGAATCCCCCGGCAGCCTACACCTATTGAAGCATAACTAAGAGAGGATTCAGGGTCACCTGGTCCAGCCCTAACTATATGCTTTAGCAAAAAGGAAATTTTAAGCCTTATCTGAAAAGTAGAGATAGTGTCTGTCTCCTTTATCCAAACTGGAAGCTGGTTCCACAGAAGAGGGGCCTGAAAACTGAAGGCTCTCCCTCCCATTCTACTTTTAAATACTCTAGGAACAAGAAGTAGGCCTGCAGAGCGAGAGCGAAGTGCTCTAATAGGGTGATATGGTACTACAAGGTCATTAAGATAAGATTATTTAAGATCTTGTAAGTGGAAGCCAGATTCTGAATTCAATTTTGGATTTAACAGGAAGCCAATGAAGGGAAGCCAGTATAGGAGAAATATGCGCTCTCTTTCTAGTCCCTGTTGGTACTCTTACTCCAGCATTTTGGTTTAATGGAAGGCTTTTCATGGAGTTACAGCAATAATGTGTACATACGTGTCAGCTAATGTGTAAACAATAAAAGCATCACCTTGTCAGCTGGGATGTGTCGATGACGTGTCAGCTTCAGTGTCAGGCATAGAAGGAGCAAATGTCAGTCGCGGAGGGGTGGGCGGCATTAAGCACATCGTTTTAGCATCCATCATATACACTATTTTTATACATTTGCACATATTTGTGATGGAAATGTAGCTGATGTGACTGTTCAGCATAAAGTGGAATAGGAATATACTCCAGTGGGACTCTGTGGCTTTCTGCATTGCTTTTGAGGTTGTTGCAGGAATTAATTTGCTTTCATTTTATGTGCCACCTGTTTCCATGAGTGATACTTTAATTTATAAACCTTGGGACATTAATAGCTCACATCTCTTTCAGCGCGGCTTCAAACCTTTCTGCAAAGTTAAAACATGCCACATAATGTTTGGGGCATAGGTGAGTTCAGACCCTTTTTGTGGTTGTTTGATCCCCAGATTTCACCAGAACACTCCTAAAAATTACTATATTAATAGTATTAATAATATTGTATTTTAGTATTATTTTCTGACACTAGCTGGCAGAAAGACACATTTTAACTGAAATATAGGAAAACTAACATTGTAATAGACAAGTAGTTTTTCCTGAATTTCATGGATGCGTTGCGTGCTTTTCAGTAGCACACTTACTTAAAAATACCAGTGGACATTCTCCACACAGCATATTGATATGAATGGCAGCATTTTACAGGATTCATATCACTCTAAATGTGGCTGAACAGGATGGATGCCACTACACTGATGTGACGGACTACAAATTTATTCTCGTGATGCTCCATGCTGAGTCTGCATAATAAAGGCCGGGTTTGTATGATTCCAGAAACTTTAATATAAAAAACACTCTGCTAGTTTCCTCCATGTACAGGTCTGTGGAGTGGCAGCATTATTTTTAGTTTCTGTACTGAACAATACCACTTGATTATTTGGTGGACTGCCTCTGTGTGATTAAGAGACTGAAATAATGTTGTGCATGTTTCTCATTTTATCTGCTTTACCATAAATTTTTCTTTAACCTCTTCAATAACAGAGCCTTTGCCTTGGGTTTGATAACTAAAGGCTCCACCTTACAACGGGTGGATTAGATTGAAATCTCTGAAATTATTCACCCATGACAACAGGTCATCTAACTAATTAGGTTGCTTTTGAAGGCAATATTGTAATGTTCATGTAGTCAAATTGAGATTTGAAATGTAAAAAGGGTTGATTACATTTGCAAACAGCATATTCCATTGATATTAATTGATAGACACTGCATGTATGATATTATGATTGGGAGCTGAGTCCACCTACATTTTAAGCCTAGAATCACCCCTGGTTTGGGGCTAAATTTTAAGGCTCATTTCCATAAACAAGATCTTTGTTAGCAAACAAGCAACAATACTTGGCTCCTCTGTTGTCACAAGAGGAAAGGAAGCAAGTAATTTTAATCCTAAAACTGATCTCTGTTGCTTGTGATTCTGATAGGGAGACTAACAGTAATTCAATACAATTCAGTTCAATTCAGTTTTATTTATATAGCGCCAAATCACAACAACCTTTTTTCCCCTCTAATAGGCTGTTTTAGGTATGAGCAAGTTCGTTTAAAGGAGACTCTTACCCAGTGGCAAGGGGGTCGTTGATCATCATATCGGTAGCATCTTTTCCTGCAGTGAGTGGAATTATCATGTTTCATTACTTCAAATAACCTTTTCAGCAGCATAATTTGTCACTGTCAGCTTTATCAGTAAGCACTGTACATATATATAGACTCCAGACATTAATTTTACTCCTTATATACATTTTAAATACAAACTTCTTCAAATAAGTTTGAATCCATGGTTGCCACTGAATGAATAAGATTTAAGTAGTTTAATTAATTTGCTTTTGTTTAACTATTTTAACAAGAGCTATTTTGTTTATTTAGTTTTTCCTTTTTGAGTTAAAGAAACCTTTTTTTTTTAAAAAATTCTGATTAATGTTGATTAACTGTTTCGTTGATTAAGTTATCTGCACCTATAAGTATGACTTATGTGTATCTAGCACTTGTCCAATAATATTTTGGTACATGTGGATGTGTTGGAAAAAGTTTTGATGCTAAAACACTTTGGAGCTCTTAATTGCTTTATTTTTGTTCCATTTATCAGTATATTACTCAAGTTGTCTTTATCCTTTAAGGAGCAACAGAGCAAAGCTGTGACACCAAGAGTGCAGTGAGTACCTGATTTGTTAACTGTCACCATAGTAGTTTAGCTAGTATGCAGCAAGAAAGCCTTTGAGGTGGCTATCAAGTTATCTTGCTGATTTTTTCTTCAATTTGATTCAGGTGAATTTTTATATAATCAAATTACAACAGTTGTCTTAATGCACTTTATTTATGAAGACCATCCAGTATTCTGGAAAACCCCAACAATCAAACAGTCCCTCATGAGCAAACACTTTGCAACAGCGGGAAGGGAAAGCTCCCTTTAAACAGGAAGAAACCTCAGTCAGAACCAGACTTAGGAAGGGAGAGAGAAATGAACCCACCCACCTGAAATTTCATGGCTTTAAAGGGTTAAACTCATATGTTGCTTTTATGTAATTTTTAAAACGTAAACAAGACTGTAACAAATTTTCTGTAATATGTATAACATGTTATAACTTCCTTATCTTCAACAGAAAAATGTTAGCAAGTTACCCAAATTAAATAAAACAAAATGTTAACTTCAGAACTACAGGCATGAATGTTTGTGTGCTTAGCTTTTAGTGAATAAAGAAGACACAGACGTAGTTAAATGCTTTTTGGTTAATAAATGTCTTTATTTGGCTTTGAGAGGAACATCACTGCATGAGAGAGCAGCACGTACAGTCACAGTTGTAAAGCAGAACGGTTTGGAAAGTGTCAGCACTCCTCTACTTCCCCAGAAACAAGTGAGCTGCAGGTGAAAACATGTTTCTTTTAACTTTCATTTATGATTAAGGCAATTCTTTTTTAATTGAACACACAACAAGCAAAAATCTACTCATCCAGCAGATATTCAAGCTCCGAGAATCAGGCCATGCATTCATATCCGTTGGTTGATTCATTTGTCAATAAAGAAATAATAAAAGCAAGGGAGAGAAATGATGAAGGACAGTGACAGAAGGCGATAGAAGAAGTAATGGGGAAAATAGCCCTTTTATGTGACTCTGTATACATAAACCATAAACCCAGGAGAATCTACTCTAACAGACACTTGCAGTCTTGGCTGAGGACTGTCAGCGTCAGCACCACCTACCTGCTCCTAACACCTACACTCACCTTCACCTTGTTTCCTGTTTCAGCTACATGAAACCAAAGCACCACCATGTTTATGTGAGGGGAAAGAAAACAAGCTGGTGTGTGAGATGATCAGATAAAGTGTATGACAAATGATTCAATCAAAGGGAGGACTTATATTCCCAAAATATATACAGCAGCAATTGAAACTCTACATTTTCACACCCAGCGACTCTGAAGCAATCTACCTTTCCACCCATGTACATTTATGTTTTTCCAGGTTCCAGGTTTGCCAGTATTACTGTGCTATGCTGCAGTTAAGAAGGAGGGAGAAAATTAAAGGGGGTGAAATGAAGAACTAAGCAGCGGCTAATGGAAAGGAGAGGAAGCATTCACCTGCCGTGTGAAATGAGGAGTTGGGACTTCCAGTCAGGATAGAAAATTTCCTGCCTAACAGGGCGACATTCAGGAATGAGCTGGTGACGCTTCATTCAATGACAAAATCTTTAACTTACAGGAATCGCCAACTTTTAAATGTAAAAATCAAATAGCACCGTAAAGTTGGACTGGCTGTTTCACATGCTCCAGGATCTGTGCGTTTCTCTTTAAAAGTCTGTGTGCTGACAGGTTTTGATTGCTCTTACTGTGAATATTAATTACCAATGGCACGTTTGCTGTTGCTTGGTCAAAAGACGGATCATTCCCCTTTTCAGACTTGTGAAACTCGGTGGCATCGTGCTAGCTTCCTGCGCTTTTCTCTGTACTCCTGTGACGTAGAGTAGTGACAGCTACAGCAGATTTATGGAAGTGATTTGAACTCTTTTGCTACTGTAGTACTAGCTAGTCTCTAAATCTCCTTTTCCATCTAATAAAGATTGAACTAATCACTTACAGAGCAAACAGAGACTGAAAAACACAGGTGTGAGGCATCTGGATTGTGCAGATGTGTGTGTGTCTGTGTGTGTCTGTGTGAGATGATGTGAACATGAACAGATCCATAGGTGACTGATCGTGGAACGTGGAATGCGTTATTGATGACAGTGATGACAAAAGCAGTTTAGCTCTTGCTGTTCTTCCCGGTGGGGCTCTCCTTCTTCTTCTCCTCTTTCTCTTTTGGCTTCTCCTCCTCCTCTTCCTCCTCCTCCTCACCCTCTTCGCCCTCTTCTCCCTCCTCACCGTCCTCCTCTCCCTCCTCGCCATCTTCTCCCTCCTCACCCTCCTCTTCTCCCTCCTCGTCCTCTTCCTTCTCCTCTTCTTCCGCTTCCTCTTGCTCCTCCTCTTCAGGCTTAGCTCCGGACTTCCTGTAAGCGCCGAGAGTGTAGGTGCGGGCGGACATGTAGGAAAAGCCGGGATAGCCAGACTGGACCATTGCGCCGCCGACAGAGCTGAGGCGACACTCCTCGCCTTCCAGCAGCTTCCTGTTCAGATGGAGAAACAGAGGACAAAAGGTGACGTCACCGCCTACACTGGACGTGCTACTTTTAGATGCTCAGTGCAGTGATAGACACTCTGAAGGGATCTAATGTCACCGTGATATCAGATGAAGCACCTCTGCTGTCTGTTTTGGTGCTTTTGCAGTTTTACATCATCTTATTTCAGTTGGAAGTGTCTGACTTCTCTTAGTGAAAGCATTAAAATCACATTTTAGGAAAGTAGGTGAGGGAGCACTCCTCTCGTGTGACATGAAGCAAATGTCCCAGGATCATGTTGGGATGTGTTTAAGCTACAATTTCAATTCAACTATTTATATAGCTCCAAATCACAACAGTAGCTTGTATATTTTAAGGTAAAGACCCTATAATAATACAGAAGAAAAACCCAACCACCTCTATGGAGATAGTGGGAAGGAAAACGTCCCTTTTTACAGGAAGAAACCTTCAGTAGAACCAGACTCAGGGGGGCAGCGATTTGCCACCACCAACTGGGGGTGAGGGGACAAAAGCCACACTGTGTAAGAGAGCTAGGGTTAATAATAACTAATGAGTAAATACAAAGTGGTGTATAAACACATAGTTAGTGAAAAGTCAGTGAAGGGGAAACACTCAGTGCACCATCGGAAGACCTCAGCATCACAAGTAACAGAAGATTCACGGTCACCTGATCCAGCCTTAATTATATGCTTTATCAAAAAGGAAAGTGTGTCTCTGTGTGGTCTGTGGCTCTGCTGAGGAGGAGGGGTGGTTCAGCGGGTAGTGCCAGGGAGGCTGTCAGGGCAGCTAGGGCTGTTCAAGTAATCAGACTCTCCCTAACGAGGCCGCAGGAAACAGAGGGGAGAGCTGTGAGGTGAACAAGACCGCTGCAAAGCTGCACAAAGCAGTCTGAAAAGATAAAGCACTGTAATAAAACATCGCCAACTCTGCAACAGCGTATACGTGTCGGGTCCTTTGTGTCACACAAAGTCTTGTGTCTGATCTTAAAAGTAGACGAGGCATCTGTCTCCTGACTCCAAACTGGGAACTTGTTCCACAGAAGAGGGACCTACACCTACTCATTTTTAAAAGGTTTATATAAATAAAGTGGAATTTTGCACGCAGTGTGTCCTTAAGAGCAAAATCTAAATGTCAATAATAAACACTTGTCATTATATTAATCACTTTAATAAACAAGATACAGTGTGGTTTCACTCCAAAACTCTTATAATAAAGGAGTAATAAGCACACAAATGGCGAACAATTAACATCTATGATATGATTTCAAACAGATTTATGTATTGTGTTGCAGAGATATTTGCTGAAGTTTGTTTGCAAACCAGCTGCCTTATGTAATACCTTTGTACCTCGAGATGGTGCAATCAATCCAACAGGAGGGGAGAAAGACAAAGCACCACACTGAGATCATGCTTAGATTTTTCTTTTAAACAGTCTATGATGCTGACCTCTTATCAGTCACTTTGAGAACCAGTCAATGAACGAAAGAGTAAATATATTGTTGAATGAAGCTCTTGATAAGTGACCACCAGCTAGCTGCATTGAAGCTTTTTTTGCCGACAAGTATTGTCTAACTTTTTTATGATTTCCATCCTGTAGGTATCTGGAAATGTTGGAAAATAACACCAGTTGCTACAATGGTCATGTGCTGTAAAACTGAAAGAAAAATCAGCTAAGAGAGACACGTAGCTAAAGCTCCAGAGTGGCTGCTGTGTCCCATTTTGAAACTGCCACATCCAATCCTACAATAATTGCCTTTCATGCCAGAGTAAAAGTAGGATGACAACCTCTTTGTGACTAGGAAACATCACTTATTGCCTTGTACATTTTTCTACATTTCGTGACTGATTGGAAGTAGTTGTGTTTGCTCCTCAGAGGTTGCGTGTAGAACAAACTCATCCAATCAGTCTCTGGGTGTCCACCTATGACCGTGAAGTGATTGTACAGGTCACTTGGTGGTAGGTGACTTGTCTGCAAACAATTACGGTCTGATACAGCCTAAGTGCAATCACCCTCAGACAGATTGGCAAAGGTTTGCAAATAAGTGTTGTCTAATTTATAAACCCAGACAGATTGAGTGCAACTGGTTAGCAATGACTAAGATACAGATGCAAACTCATAGCAGACTTTATCTTGACACACCAAAGTCACTTGAAGACAGCAACTGAGTGTGAGTGGTTGCAGACCTGGTCTCAGCCTTTGAAGCAATGGTTTCATAGGCGAAGATCACAAGTTCACTTGGAACAGTAATTTTGTTGCTGCTGTGATCTGCAAACACTGTTTTTCCTAGTGTGGCAGGGTGTGGTTTGTCACTCAGCTGCAGGGGATGGGTGGAGCAGCGGGTTCAGGGTCTGGTGTCAGGGAAGGCTACTGGCAGATTCCTTTGTCTGCAGAGTCAAAGGGAAAAAAAAACTCCTCTTCCCCTTCCGTATGCTTTGTACCAATTTGCCCTTCAGCGTGTTCGGACGCCCCCGCCACCTTCCAGTGCCTCGGTGTACTGCGTCTGCACGCTGCATATCCTGCCACCTATTTGGATGACATCATCATCTGGACACCTGGGCAGAGCATGTGCAGCGGGTGGCTGCAGTCTTGGAGTCCCTGAGCCCCTGCTCTACACGTCTAACTTTTCCCTCCCTTTTATTCTACACACTGATGCTTCAAACAGAGGGCTGGGTGCCATGTTATCCCAGCAGGTAAGGGTGGGGGAGGTTGATCACCCCGTCGTGTACATCAGCAGGAAACTGTCAGAACGGGAGGCCAGCACAGTGGGCAGTGGTACATGGAGAAGGAGTTCCTGGCCATCCGGTGGGCGGTCGATTCTCTTCCTTATTACTTCTAGGGCCATCCATTCACCTTCTCTCCAGATCACACCCTGCTGCTGTGGCTCCATCGCATGAAGGATGCCAATGTCCAGATCACCCCCCACGGTTGTAACTGGCTCTCCAGCCTTATAAGTTCAAGGTAGTCCAAAGGCCAGGGGCACAGATGGTTGGAGGGATGGAGCAGCGAGTTTGTGGTGTGGTGTCAGGGGAGCCTGACCCACACGGCTGACCCCCATCATATAATCATGCCCTCTCTTTTGAGTAGGACACCGGGACCTACTGGTGTGCTGTGTGTGCTATCTATGCTGTGCTTGAGACATCAGCTGAAAAGCTGCACAACCAAAGGTGTGGCGATATGAAAACCCCCCACTGTAAATAAACATTGAACCTTCTGGCAACGTTGTGTGCATCGGGTCACACCTAGGTTTATAACATACTGTGCTATTATTATTGTATGTATGTTTTCAGCTTAGTTCCACCTGCCAAAATGATGACTGCTGTTCTGTTTGTAATATTACAGACCTGTACGCAGCAATCTCAATATCCAGTGCCATCTTAACATTCAGTAGGTCCTGGTATTCACGTAGATGACAAGACATTTCTCCTTTCGTACTACGCAGGGCACCTTCCAGCTGCTGAATGGTATCCTGTATGCACAAACAGACACATGCACATATTAGCCAGCATTAGCCTTATGTGACCTATGGCTTTTATTATTAACTCCTCAATTTTTTTAGCTACTTTTTGGTTGTTTTTGTCTGTAAATAATACGGTAAAGTCTTTTTTAAGGTTTCTAACAATTAGCTTAATAAAGGTATAAAAAATACAATTATTTACATACCTGCATCTCACCAATTTCATTGTTATGGCGATCTTCCATCTCTGCAATCTGCCTCTCCAGAGCTTCATTGTGGCCCCTGAGGGCCTCAATCTCCAGGGTCCGGGCCTGCACCTGTCTGCGGTATTCGCTCAGCTCCTCCTTGGAGTGCTTGATGGCATCTTGGTTGCGGGCAGCCGCCTCAGTCACACTGGCAAACTTGGAGCGGTACCATTCCTCTGCCTGGGATTGGTTCCTAGCTGACAGGCTCTCATACTGGGCCCTGATGTCCTTCAGGGCTGCAGCCAGGTCAGGTTTGCTCACATCCATCTCCACTGACACCTTGATTGAAAAAAGTAGAAAGTAAAAATTGTTTGTGTTTACTGTATATGTTGAGTTTACAACTGTAAATAAAATGTAGCAATTTTTTTTAAATCACTCATCCTTATATTTAAGAGATGCACAATTATAAGCTGTGTACATTTCGAAAACTATTTTAGCTCACTGATTAAGAATTATAAGTTCATTTTGATCCCGATCAACCATATTATTATATAATGTGGAACCATCATTTTCCACAAACACAGCTTGTTTGTTTGCTGGAAAAGTCTATGCTTTTAATTCTCAGTGGGTAAATCTTAGTGTTTCTCTGATTGGATGTCTGTTCTTTGAAAAGTGGTGACTGTAACAACAAACTGCTGAAATCACTGTCACCATGGATGACAAACAAAGCCATTCTAACTCTGGCTCATCTGTAGCTGTTAACCTGATGAAAATATCAGCGTGTCATTGTGAATTTCTTTTAAATACTGAATACTGTTAATGCATGTTAATGCGCTTGTGCTGCAGCTAAACTACCCTCTTCTCTAGCGCCGCAACATAAATGTTTAAGGTGAGCGGTGTGCTGATGAGCTGAGGTGGTGGACTGCGGCGCTGATGAATTGACTGCTGACTCAGACATCTCTGCTGCAGAAAGCTGTGCTGTCAATGGCTTTTATGGTACTCAAATTCCCCACAGGGGGGAAAATGAGAACCCCTGGAGAAATCTACCTAGCAACCACCAGTTCGTGACTAACTTAATAAGCACAAGCTCGCAAAGGACGTCGCTTCACATAAAGACAAGTTTCACGCAAATTTTCTTCTTTTTATCTTGCTCTGTCAACAGCGGGACGTAAATAACATCCCAATAAACATGAAAATAACTCACTCCTGCGCATAAACTCGAGCTATGCGCGTCACACGTGGCTAGAACAAAGTGGGAAATGGCTTGAACCGCCATACTGCCCCATGAAGGCAGTTTATCACGTTAATATGTAACCTACACGAAACAAGCGCTAGAGTTTGTCCTGCCTGGGACGACCACACCCCTGCGCTATTTCTCCGCATTTTCTCCCCCCTCTGCCCCCTCTCCCCCCCTCTCTTTTAGGAAATGGTAGCAAGCTAACGGCGGGCCTTACAGTAGTTTACATGAACTTTATAGTTGACCTTGGTGCAAAGCAGGTAGCTTATCTCTCCGCTGTCGCACTTTCATAATGTCAGTCAGTTTTCTGGGCAATTCTCTACACGAAACGACCGAAAAACAGACACTTCAAAAACAGCTTTAAGTTGGCACGAGGGGGCGTGAGCACAGGAGCGCGCGGGACACCGCAGGGACGCTCGCGACTCTCCTGCTTTCAGAGCGGGAGGGAGGACAGCGCGTGGTGCTGAAACGGAACTGCAGTGCCATTAATTTTCATGTGCGCGCCGTTCAGCACGTCGAAGCGACGTAGAAAAGACGGCTGCCGACAGACTTTTACATCCTAACACATCTGTAGGTCACTGCTTTCCCGAACTACTCACAAAAATAAGAAAGAAAAAAGAGTTTGTTGTTGTGTTGAGTGCAACAAATCAACAACTTCCTCTGTTGTAGTTTGTTTGTGGCCACTAAGGTGATTATGAAGTGTAAAAACACTCAAGCCTGGAGACCACCTGTGTTCGTGGGTAACACTGTGTTTCTGGTGATATTCTGTGGCTTTAAAACTAGTGGTTAATCGCATTTCTGACCAGTTGACCGTCGGCGGGTGTAATCCTTGCGTGTCTACGGGCAGGCCGTCAGACCCCCGTGGGACGTGTACCTGTGTGGCCTGCAGTGAAGCCTGGAGCTCCTGCAGCTCCTCCTCGTGGACTTTCCTCAGGAAGGCGATCTCATCCAGGAGCGACTCCACTTTCTTCTCCAACTCCAGGCGCGCCAGGGTGGCGTCGTCGACGTCCTTCCGGTAGCCCTTCAGGGTGTTCTCCGCCTCCTCTCGCAGCCTGCTTTCTTCCTCGAACTTCTCCTTCATGCGCTCCAGGGTGTCGTTCATCTGCACGCAGTCCAGGTGCATCTGGCTCTTCTCGTGAGTCAGCTCCTCCACGCGCGCTCGCAGCTCGCGGATCTCCTGCTCGTAGAGCTCGTGCAGGCGAGAAGGCTCACTGTTGCGCTGGCGCAGCAGTGTGACCTCGGCCTCCAGGATTTTGTTTTGCTGCTCCAGGTTGTGCACCTTCTCGATGAAGGACACGAAGCGGTCGTTGAGGCCCTGCAGCTGCTCCTTCTCGTTGGTGCGGATGATCTTGAGCTCGTTGGTGACCGCGGTGGACTGGGTCAGGTCCACCGCGTGGTCCGGCATGGAGGAGAAAACCCGGCCGGGGGCCGCTGTCCGGCGGTAGGTGGTGGTGGAGGAGATCGCTGAGGGGGAACCATAGGTGCGGTGGCTGCTGCGGTATCCCGCGGAGTGCAGGCGGGACGGGCTGCTGCTACCCAGGCCGACGCGACCGGAGCGGGGGGCATCTCCGAAGATCTTCCGATAGGAGCTGCTGTAAATCTCGCTGGAGTAACTCATGGTTCCTTCACCTCGGTTGAATTGGGCCGATGCCTTTGCTTTGCACAGGGAAGTGTGTGTGTGTGGAGTTCAGGAGTGTGACAGGATGAGTGTGTGTGTGAGAGAGAAAGTGAGATGCGAGTGATGTCTGCCCGGGACAGGTGCTTTTATAGGGAAGGCGCCGGCGCATCATTTGACGCAGCAACAACAGAAGACGAGGGGAAACCTGCAAGCTTTTGCAGAAAGCCTCCACCCTCTGGGGAGACACGAAGTCACTCATGCATCTCCTCCTTTCCGCCCTGCAGCTCCAGCTCAACAAAATCACACTCAACGACGAGCAGGTTTCTGCACGGTCTTTGCTGTTCGTGCCCGAACTGAGATCATTAAAATCTAACTTTTTCTTTTCAAGTTACCAACTACTGATCGCACTTATTGCCACCCGGATAAACACATCGTAACACAAACACAGACACAGGTGTAATCTGAATTACAGCACATTCATTATGCACTTATCTATGGTGTTCACTGTAACTGCAGTATTTTTTTTTCCTGCGCTGTCGCAGCAGAATGGGAAATGGGATCGATGTATAGAGCTTTGCTCAGAGTGTGTTTTGGTGGTGCTGCAGTCTGCAGTCACCCCCCCCCCCCCCCCCCTTCCGCAGTATGGGAAGACGGGATAATATCATATTAGTGGCAAAAATATGCGTAAAGTGTGTATTTTTTACGCACTTTACGCACTTTACGGGGGGGGGCTCCTATGTTTCAGTGCTGCGCAGAGCGGTCTCTGGCCTTGGTCCTGATCTAGGCTGGAGACAGAGGCGAAGGACCACGCCCCTGCAAAGTACAGGACACCCACCCGCGGGACCGCAGCTTCAACAGCTCCGAACACCACAGGAGGCGCCTCCAGTGCTGCTGCTCAAGCTGCCTGTCTGGAACAGATCCCAAGCGCAGACATCGCCAGGTCATCTTAAATCACCTTAAACTACTTTCCATTGGTCTCGTTTCCCCCACAAATTATTATCAAACAGGGGTCAGTGAAGAGTTGCCATTGTCTAAAGTTACAGAACCATGTTAAGTGAGCAGAAATTGATATTTTATTTAGCTTTATGAATTTGATTGGATTTATTTATTTATCTGCAAATTTGGAAAACAGTGACTTTTAAATAGAACTATTTGCACTGTAGCAAATTATTGTCACATATCATCGGACTTGTTGTTTGGAATGCAAAATTCCTTTTTAATAAGTCACACTGATTTCAGTCAAACATTTCCAGAGTTGATGCACTGAATTAATCACACGTCATGAGTGACGAAACTTCTCGAATGCAGTTTTTTCTTGAGGGCAGCAGGGGGCGCCCACTCTGGCTGTAAAGGCTAGGCAGATTGTATAGATGTATATGAGAAAATGACCCTGAAGTACACTCTATTACCTCGATTGATGTCCACAAATGCTAGTTTTCGGTCTTATTAAATATAACATGATACTTATTTTGTAAATTATAGCCCACCTATAGCTTCCCATGTAAACACTGGGCCAAACCAAACATGTTGATTGAGTGATGTGAGTAAAGCAGCAGCCCAAAGAAGCTTCGTAGTGGAATAAACATTAAAGCAGGGATGCTTTATCTTGCCTTACTTTTAAGCTGTATAGTTGTGAGAATGATGGTTCAAAGAGCTCACCTCAACTCTTCAAAACACCAGCCAACAACCAAAAAAGGAATTCCATGACACATACCTTTATCTTTTATATACAGACTGTGCTCAAAATTGAATTTTATGTGACCACGTTCACTATAAAATCTAAACCTTTTGCTTGAATATGCTTGAATGTGTAGCTAAACACACCTGAACACTGTGGGAAAATGTCTCAGGGCTGAAGCAGATGTGTCACAGTTTTAATAAGGAGATGAAGATTTTTGAAAACAACTAATTTTGAAATAAGCTCATAGCTGAAAAAAGAACAAAAATCTTGAAAATCTGTGTCCATTTGCCCCTGTAGTTTCTAATGAGACAAACAGGTCTTAAAGAAAATTGAGAAAATAAAGTTTATAGTCTAAATATAAGAAAATGTTATATTTTAAAGAAGTGGAGCAAAGATACAGCTGAACTGAGAGACCGGCCGAGACACTTTTCAGATCATTTTGATGTTGATTTTGATCCAGGCCTTTCCACAAATCATGTAGTTTAAATAAATAATAATAATATTATCAAAAATCAGAATAAAGATGATGTTTTTCACTTTAACTTTCGTATTTTATTTGATGAATGCATGAACACAGACAGAGACATTTTAATCACTAGGGGGCAACAAAGCACCAACGTTACACTCCTGAGCTCACAGTCTGAACTGATGCTGAGCACGTGTAAACAAAAACTTCCTTATCATAGTATCCTTTAATTCCCTCATGTTCATGACTGCAGCTCTAATGTGGATCGTGCTTTTGAGCTCTCCTGGGAAGATGCCCGGGCCTTTGATAGAAGGCAGTGATGA